GCTGAGCCAACCCAATACACTGGTTTATTGCAGAAATGTAATGCCAGAAGCCGCGTGTCTGGGTTTGGTCTATATATTTATAAGTTCACCTTCAGGCTCATTAGGGCCTGTGGAGAAGGAGAACAACATCACCTGTTGTATGGATGGGTGATCTGCCAGCTGAGCTTCAGGTTGTGTTATTTCTTGTCTTTTGTTTTATGCTGGATGGCTGTGATAGACTCTTACGGTCTAGCCGGAAGAAGGAAAATTGAAATGAAATGGTCTCTAATTTGGATAGGCTTTCTTTCTTGGTGTGAAGTAAGATCCACGGTACTGTAGAAAACAGTAGTGTTTATCATCTTAGATTACTTTTCTAGAGGAGTAACAGCAATTAACTTTTTTTGCTTTCATTAGAGATACACCTAGCAGCAGCGCTCTTGATTTGCAGCCCACTGTGAGGTGGTTTATTGTGAGGTCTTTTTCTCCCTTGCTAACATTCTTCAAATACTGCATGAAGGTTCTCTTTTAATATATTTCCATTGGTGACATCTGATATTTAGTCTTTATAGCTCTTGTAAATCCAGGGGTTTGTGTAGTGCTTCCTTAAAGTTTCTTTTTCTGAGCAAAGGGGCATGGAAGGCAGCTAGACCAAACTGTGTTTCTCCCCTATGGGCTATAGGAACGGTGACCTTAAAACACATTCCGGCTTCTGTCCAAGATAGCAATAGGGTTTCATCCAGACCTTTAAATCTGCCTTCTGGTATCTTTCCCAAAGTTATTCATGCCAGGGGTTGAAAGTATTGTCATACACTTAAATTTAGATAAAGTATGAAAATGTTTAGGTCACCTCCTTGGTGCTTTGCTTTTCAAAACAGAGAAAGTGAAATTACAGGCAGTCTCTACTTGCAGCTTTTGAAATACATCTCTGACTACAAAATAAGGAAATTTTGTTTGGGGACCATTAGAACCTACTCTCGTGGAGTTCAAACAGCATCCATAGCATTACTGAAAATGTATCTGGTTTACATTTTAGAATGATTTGAATGCCCTGAGTATGGATTATGGTTTGTGATACGAGATACTGTATGTTCCTGAAGTGGTGCCCCAGTGATTATTTCCATGAAACAGAGGTCCTGTATGAGGTCCTATCTGCAAGTAGTTTGCCCGTTGCTTTTGGTACAGAGCGCCACTGCCAAGGAAAATAAAAAGTTACTTGTGGAATTATTCCAGATGTTATCCATATGCATGTACCTTATACTGCCTTCTCTTCCCTATTCCAGCATTAGTTCCAGTTGAGGGAAGTTATATGCAAAGAGATTAATTTTGTTTTCTGTATCTTTGATGCTTTGCTCGGGGCACTATGTGTGTATTGCATAGATACTGCTGAGTAAAAACTCAGATAAAGTAGTAGATATGAAATCCTAGTGGAATGTATGTGTGGGTAGTATGTTGAAAGATTTTGCTTATTATAAGACAAGAAAATTACAGAGTGGTTTCTTGAAAATACAAGTGGGAAAGTAGGAAGAAGTGACTATCAGCGTGTAATTTCTGATTTGAATCGCTTATTTGAACCATGCAAAATAGCCCTAACTTTCTGTGTACCGAGAAAAAAAATAATATGCTATGCAAACTGATAAGGTAGTAGATGAGAAGTCTCAAGTATTTCTGGAACATGAAGAAGTAACATTAAGGGTATTCTGATAACTTGATAACTTAATAACTGGTTGTCAACAGTTTTAACTCTGTCACTGGTATTTTCCACCTAATGTTTAATGTGTGTGACGATTGAAAATGGTGTTTTAAGGTCCAATTTTGGCAACTTATTTATGAGTGTGTGGAAGAAAGGACAAGAATTCCCTTTCCCTTGTATTTATGCATTTATAATGTTACTGTATTACTTATGCTGTGTTAGAAGTCTGACAAAAAAAACCCAAAACAAAGCCATTATGTGATCTGCAGCTACCCAGATTTCTGGGTAGTTGTATACCTGCCTTGATTTTCTATGCACCATGACCCCATGTAGAAATAGACACATCCTGATTTCTCATAATTGGGATAGAAATGAAGTGAAAACATTTTCAAGTAAAGGACTGAGCAGAAAAGATATTGACAATTTTGCGGTGTAGTTAGGAGTTAAACCCACAGAATTAAGTCATATTGAGCCATTGTGTTCAATATGATTGTCAACATCAGGTCTAACTTGGCAGGTTTTCCAGTTTCTTAGTTAACATGACTAAAAGACAGTGTAAGATGCCTTAGAGTCAGTTTCTCTTCTAAAACCAAATCTGAAATTTGAACATTTTAATCCCATATTAGTTTGTCCAAAACTCAGTAGCTCCAGTGAATTAAAATTGTGTGTGTTTGTAGTTAATCTGTTTAAACATAGCCATGTACCAGGTTATGTAGAATGTCAAAAATATGTGACATTTCTCAAAATCTGTGAAATATTAATCAAAAATATTTTAATAGCTTTTTTTACTAGATCTAATGCAGAGAGGTGGTGGGTGGTGTTACTACATACAGTGGGCAAGTCCACATCGTTTTCTTTGTATTGGCCAGATGAACTAGATTCTGAGTGACTGGTTCCCGAAGAGATGAGCTGCCTGTTTGGCACTACGGGTAGCTTTAAGAATGGAAGTCGTTCTCTCTCAGCTGGTAGCTGCTTGTGCTGAATGTCGATGAAGACCTGAAAGTTTCAGCAACAGGTTTTAAATTCAAAGGCCAAGATTATGGTGATGAAACGTGCATTTTCCTTTTAGGTCAGGAACTCCTATTTCTACCATATTTGTTATTAATCTCTAGTGATGGTCAAAGCCTGTTTAGTTTTGTAGGAGTAGGCCTGTCAAATTTGGGCGGGGTGGGATTTTTTTTTTTTTGTTTCTTGGGTGTTTTTTTTCCCCTTGTTTTTCTTTTAACATTATTTTCTCCTGGGCTTTGATGTAATTTATGTGCCTGTTGTTGCAGAAGTAGCCTGAGTTTGGATGACTTCCGGTAAGTCTATCTAACACTCGATAAATGTTGTGTGTCAGTTACTTTACATCCATCATGACTGCATCACACAGCCTTTATAGCAGCAATTAACTGTCCATTTGGTTTGCACAAGACATGTCAATGTCTTCTCTGGACTAAACTGCATTTATTTCCCATGTAAGCTTTATTTCCCATGTCCTCTTCACAAGCGTTTAGAGATTGCTTAATTACTAATTTCACAAGTTTGCAATATATTAATACTGTTTACTGTTAACAGTTTATCTGTTACTAGTTTTGAAATACATCTGCATAACTTGAAGCTTTTCTTTTTTTTTTGGCCTGTGACTGCTAGCTCCTCTAAAATTTCCTTTACTCCATGTCACATTTCTAGATCCAATTTGAGGTTTTACCCACTTAACTGCTTGTTTTGTCCACATTGTGTCCACAATGATCGTTGCCTAACGCTGCATGCACATATAACCATTTTATGAATATTATCAAGCACTCAAACCCAGCAGTTTCCTAAATTAGTTCTCTCTACAGCTTTTCTTGTGATGGTTCTAGGTTCATTTACAACATATGCTATTTTTTATAATTTGCTCTAGGTAGTCTGTGATCACTCATTAATACCTTAGTAGCAGTTCAATGATTTGTTTTCTCATTATTCATGCCTCTTTCAATACATGCTGTCCAGACTCTTAATTATTTTTTCGTTATGGGCTTTTCCTCAGAATTTGTTAGAGCATTAGTGTTTCATATATTCCTCATACACTTCTTTAGTCTTGAGGGAACATTATCAACTTTGTTTCAGGTTAGGAATCATGGTATATAGTCACTTTTATGTGCCAGGTCAGTGTATTGAGTTGTTACTTGCTAGAGTGTTGAGCAGTGAGAAGTCCTCGAGATAAAAGTGCGGTTTGATGATTTTTAAGTGCAGATCTTATGTGCTCAGCATTTCTCCTAATTGTGTGTAGTGGCTTTAGTCAGCCGAGAGAAGGCAATACTCTTGACTTCACATGCACGTAAGTAGCTACCTTGTCTGATACATGTGACTTGTCTGGTACTTCCTGACCTGCCAGGATCACGATAGTGTTCTTCATCTGCATGGCCCTGCCAGATCACTTGAGAAGATCTGCTCAGTGCACTGAAATGAGGCAGGGATCCTGTGGGAAAACCATTTTGCAACCATCCACAACTGAAGAATGCCACAGTGCACAGTGGCACTAACGCAATCTTTGGTCAACAATTCCCAGCTATAAACAGCAATTGTAATTTGATAATGTTATGTATCTGTGATTTCTGAGCTTTTAAAAAAGAAAAAAAAAGAAGGAATGGAAAATATCTTCCAACTTCGTGCTGGAATTCAGCAGAAGCTGCAGAGTCTCTCCTCTGGGCCCTGCCAAGGAAGCAACTTTAGGTGGACGTTCTAATAGTGCTGTTACATAGATCAGCACTAGAGGGAGGGGGGTACTTTTTGCAATGAGTTTTGTATATGCATTTGTGGATGGGGGAGTTGACAGGACTTAGGACACTTGGTCTGTATTTTAAACTAGCCAGTTTTTCTCCTCTTTCTTCCCTCACGCCTTGAACTCTACCGTGTCCTAGTCCCAAGTTCTGCCTAGCCTCAAGTTCTTATCTCTACTTCACCAGTGAATCTATTAGATTTTCATCCCGATACCTGATGGGTTTTTTTTGTATATATTCTTTTTTTCTTGCTCAGCTTCTTCAGAATTTTGACCATCCTGTTGTCTGTCCAACTCTGCTAATGTCCATTGATTCTTTCCATGCTTGTTGAATCTGGCTTGTGCTCTGTGTGCCTGCTCAAGGATTTTTGCCAAACCAGTCCTGTGTTTTCTCTGCGCGTTGTCCGCCGTGTGTCTGTGTACCCTCTTACTCACCAGTTTGTGTTCCAAATTTTTGTCTCTTCCTTTGGAGAGAATCCCATCCTAGTTTGTTACTTTATACCCATTCCAGTTTAGTGGTTGCTCTTTGCTTGTTAGGCGTGATCTTTGGGCTCAGCCTGAGGCAAGAGGAGGTCATTCCTAGTTATCGGGTCAAGTCCTGGCCCCATGCAGCCCTGTACTGCAGTTACAGGCAAGGCTGTGTTCTGCCTTCAGCTGGATCGCTGCAGGAGAGAACTGATTTGAACATGGGGTACTCTTACCAAATCTTTGAACTTGTGCAGATTAGTTTTTCCCCAAAAAATCTTAAGAACTACACAAGAAAACTACTTCAAGAGTCAAGCCAGAGGTCCGAAGTATTAACGTTCTAGAAAACATGTCTGGTTTTGTCTGAACAAGGCTCGTATTTTGCTAGATGTTTAAGCTCTTGAAACAAGATTGAGGTGTGTGGAAAAAGTACAGTTCAGCACGGTAATATGTAGAAGTTGTTTAAAAATTGAGTAGAAGTGTTCAGACATGGATTTAGACTATGAGCAACCTTATCTTTCGTTAGCAGAGACAGATGGTGTCTGCTTTGGAGCTGATAATAACATGAGATATAAAAAGCAAAAGATTTGGAGAAACAGTGGATTATTTACGCAATTTTAGTCATGTACACAGTCTGGGTAAAATTATAAACAGGAAGGTCATTAGTTACACGCGCATGCATGTTTTGAGCAGTTGATTTTGTCAACATGGTTTTGTGGGTGATGAAGATGGTCTCTGCTGTTATGTTCCTACTACCATTCAGTTAATAATTTTCTGTTTTAAAGGAAAAAGAAACAGGATATGGTTTTGTTCTCTAAACTACTAATTGTGCTTTTAATCTCAGTGCTTTATACTGAGTCTCTGATTTTGCAGTTCACTCTCTTGGTTTTTAACTCACCTGTTAACTGTATTTATTGAATCAGTGTAAGTAGCCTCAGGATGATTATTGCAGATTCAATAAAAACAAATTTTTTTTTCAGAATTATTGGCACTTCTACTCAAGAAACAGTCTTTGTTATCAGGTCTTGGGTAAAGGACACAAGAAAGTTATAAAATACATTCTCTCAGTAAGGAGTGTGCTTCCTGCCCAATTATTTTTATTTTCACCTACCTTGTTGCTTTTTGGATGCTTTGTCATAAGTGGCAAGACTTTATAAAATGTTTTCGTCTTTTGTTCAGATCACCTCTTCAAGCAAATATTCTTCAGTTGCATCTGTTTTCTCTCATGCTCAGTCTTGCTCCTTGCACATTCCTTTTGTCTGTCCCCTAATGCTTAAAAATCGAGATCCCTCTTGAATTATACATGCTTGTAAAATTCCAGGATGTCCGTGTAAAAAAAAAAATAAAAAAATTGAGTCCGACTACACCATTTGGCAAGAATAGATAAATATTTAAATATAAGTACATGGAAAAGGACAGAGTTAGCGACCTTCTTGGTCTGCATGCCTGTAGCAATCCAACAGTTACTGCTTTCATAGTTACTGCTTTGCATAGTTACTTTTCATAGTTACTGCTTTGCATAGTTAATTGTTTATTCTGTGTTCTGCATTACTGGGCTATTATTATAATGAGTGTTAATGTTTGGTCATGGTTAGTTATATGGGAATCCCATACCTCTTAAAAGTGTAATCAAGAAATTTTGCTGATCGATCAAAGAACAAATTTGCCATAAATGAATTTCAATTTAAGTGGAAGTGTAAATATATCGGCTACTTGTTTGTAGAGCTACTTCTCTTATCTGCAAATGATGTGCAATGGCCAACTGAGCTGCCATGTAATAGTCTGCCTGCTGTTGTGAACTCTGGCTTCTGTAATCCTAGGACCACACAGAAGAGAGGAGAATCGTTTGGGATCAGCAAAATAGGCAACAAAATAAAAGGTGTATTCAAGAGTTCAGCGATGGAAGGAGCTATGTTGCCTAACTATAACTTAAATGAAGGAGAAGATGACTTTGTGAGTAAAAGCTTTGGATTTGTCTTGAAGTCTTTGCTGTTGTGGGATTTTTTTTTTTTATTCCTTATTTGAGAATGTTAAGTTTCTGCCTTTTCTGCTGTCTTACTTCACTACAGGGCTTCTGATTATTTTCTGCCTTGTTTTGCCTGTATTCATTCGCAAGCCAAGGCCACATCCCCAGTTAATATGCTTCTAAGCTTACTGCTTTAATACAGAGAAGTACTAAAAGTAGTAGTGTCAAGACATTTTTGTAAGCAATGAGTTTTTCTCTAAAATGTTACCATGCCATTTTCTAATTCTGGTGAATAAGGTATGTGTTGGACTGCATGCATGGCTTTTTGTCTGAAGTTTGGCCCAAGACCTTAAAACCATAGATAAAGTAGTGAAGAAACTACCATCAAGTTGGTCTGTGATGCAGCATTTTCTCTAAAGATTGTGAGCCAAGAGTCCCTTCTCATTTGTCTTGGGTGTCTCAACTAATGTTTTTCTTTTATGCTGAACAGCAGTGAGTAGGGCCAATGGCAGAATCATTAAATTGGGCATTGGTGTCTGAAGCGCAGTTGTGGGACAAATGGAAAAACTTAAAAAGAAAAGGGGAGGGGATTGGTCAAAAGCTATTGGTAGTCATGTCGTTTGCTTTTTTTTTATAGTGTGCCTGCCAATTCAACCTCTTGTACCTGTTCTTAACAACCAAAGCATTTAAACATTTAGCAGGTTGATATACTGCTAGCTCATTTTTCACACTTTAATGATAAAAGTATAAATATGAGTTTATATTATTCACTGGAATGACTTACCAACTTAGAACTCTGTTTTTTTCCTTTTAAGAGGTGAAAAGAAGGCAGTTTTCTGTACAGGCTGAGTCTTCATACAAGTCATGCCTTAAAGGGGCAGAACTTCTGCAGTTAATTTCATGGACAGTTCTTATTGTAACCTCTTTCTTTTTGAGGTGAGATTCTAATGAAAATGGGTTAATTTTGCAGCATTGCTGTTGTAGATTCTGCTAGCTAAAGGGCGTGGACATATAATTCCCCTGTGGTAGAGGAATTAGTAGAAGTATAATTGAAGTAGTGGGGCTCAGAGAAGGAACATGTTTTTGTGCCAGAGCACAAGTTACTTGTGAGAAATTGCTAAATTCAGCAAGAGACACAAACCGTATAGCATCTAGTCCTTACTGAGAAGGTTTACAAATTGAGAGAATGATTTTGGCTTAGGCAGGAATGGAGAGTTTTAAGTGCAGCGTAGTCTCAAATCCCTTCATTAAATAAAAGGAGAATACTGCATTTTTATCAAAACCATCTTAGACAATGTGTGGGAAACACTTCAGTCCCTTCACCATGTAAGCGTGGATGGGAAGAAGAGATGGGAAAAGAAAGCGGTAAATTTTGGTTTAAGGTTATTGTCTGTCCAAAGAGCTGAACAGAGCTGGGACTTCACTTCATTAGTGAATACTGAATATTCAGAGTTCAACACTAACGATGTCACAGCAGGTACTGAGCTGGGGTTTCCTAGCAGGCATCGCAGGGTCAGAGGAAAACCTCTTTGGGATGCAACAAACATGATCTGCAAAATGACAGTGTGACTGTAAGACAGAGGCAGTGCAGTATACAGACTTAGCAACTTTTTTTAGCTTAAGTACCGAGGATATGGCAGTTACTTCCTCCTACAAAGATCCTGGTTAGATATTTGTGTAATTAGTGTTAATGTAAGCTTGGTGGATTCAAGGTAAATGTAAGGTAAAGAGTGGTAGTGAAATGGTGTTCTGTGCAGCGTGACACAAACTGAGAAACTGAACATTGCCTTTGCTGTTTCTTTTTTTTTTTTTTTTGACAAAGTCAGATAGAATGCAGTTACAGCCTGTAGGAAACAACCATTTAATTTTAGGAAATCATGTAGGAATAGAAATATGGATTTCTGTGGCTAACAGAATAGTAGTAATTGTAATGTTAATAGTAATTCCATGAAATCACACTCAGTCTCTGTCAGTTAAATTTTAAATATATCAGAATATATTCTGTATATTAAAGCACAGGTATTGTTTCTGAGGCAGCCAGAAGATCTGTAAACTTAGATTTGTGGGGTTTTTGGGTAAAATAAATAGGGAGAGACTGAGGCAATCTGTAACTGCTGCAGGTTGGTGATCTGTTACAAAGAGGATTAAAACCCCCAGAAATTCATGCTTCCTGACTTCATGTAGGTGCTGTGGTTGTCACAGTGGAAAAGCCTGCAAATTTAGATAGGACTGTTACCAAATCCAGGCTAGCAGTCAGGTGAGGGATCTGGTGAAAAGAAATGTGAAACTTTGCTGATGATCCCGTATCACCTCAGAAGGGCTGAGCGAAGAGGCTGTGGCCCCTGTTTGAGCAGTTCAAGAACTGACTGGCTCGTACCCACTCTAAGCCTTGTGCTAACTCTGCAGCGTATGAAAGTAACTAAATGGTTGGAGATGAGAGCTGCAAGCAGTGGTAAATTAAAAATGAAAGAATCAAAAAACATAGGCAAGAGTTGAGTTTTGAAGCCCTTGCTTGTGTATTTAGTTCCGTCAAAAACTACAGAATCAAATAAGCCTGAGTGTTTCCTTGCATTTTTGCAAGGAGATCCTAGTAGAGATTGTATATTTAGTGCTAATGCAAATATATACACAATTAATCAGGTTAGATTATAAAATGTTAATTTTGGCACCCAGTTCACGCTACCCCATCTGCAGAACCTCAGCTGTGGTTGACTTGGAGTTCCCATCCTGAAACATTGCTCTACTGTTTCTGTCCTGTGGCGACAACCACCTAAAGCCTGGGGAAGGAGGAAAAATGAGGGTAAGACCTCATGCAGAAGACTTTGATGATGTAAAGCCACTTGTCGATCCTGTTGTTGTAGTTCAGCTATTTATATCATTCTTTGATGCACGTTTGTCCAGCAGTTTGTGAGCCCTAAGTGTTCATTCCAGGCTGGGGATATTTTTGTTGTCTTTGCGAAAGAGCACAGCCTGTGATTTCATTCTCGGGTTGGGAGCCAGCTTAGCTGAGTTGGTGCAGCAGCGACCAAGACTGCTCTTTGCCTGCCTTGTTTTGGTGAATAAACCCAGTAAGTGGAAGGGAGCAGGTGTTTTGAAGAAAGGAGATTGAGACAGTGGATCTACAGAGATCCGTTTCAGAAGACAGTGATCCCCACTGTTTGAGCGTTTCTGTACTATGCAAAGCTGAAGAAGGATTGCCCACGTGTGTTGAACTATTTCAGTTGCCATTGAGCCATGACGGTATGAGTACTGTAGCACAGATGCAGCCAGAATTATTTCAGGGGTGCTGTATTGCCTTAATCTGTTAATTAGATTATCCCAATGCAGGCCAAATTCGTTAAGCGGCCTAGGCGTGGCTTTTGAGGGGAATTTGGCTGTAAATTATAAAGCTAAGGGAAAAGAACTTGAAAGTGGGATTCGCCACTGCTGTGGTGAGCACAGGCTTGGAGGCAGGACGATGGGCAGCCCCTGCTTCCCTGCAGGGTTGCAGCGTTGTAGAAACCCTTGCAGCACGGTGGCAAATTAGATTTCATTTTTCTAGGGAAACAGGACTACTCTTGTCTTCACCTGCTTGCCTACGCTTGTGCAAAATACAAGAGGTTTTCTTGTCCAGCACATCTTTAGTGAGGGCTAATCTCTCCACAAACTCCATTCGCTTTATTTTTGAGTCCTACTTGAGTCTAAGGCCAGCCCTATCCTTCCTTCTCACAGACACTGTCTCCTCATTTGCAAAAATAATTTTTATTCCTTTGAGTCATTTTTTAATTGTTTTTTTCCTGTGTGGTGAAGATGAGAATGAGGTTAAGCATTGTTTGGAGAAATAAATAGCTTTCCAAGACTAACTGTTGAAGCTTGGATTTTTTCAGTTTAGGTATTTAAGATTATCTTTCTGTGGTTTATGATCCTAAAAGATTTGTAGCAGTTTCTTTGTCGTTGTTGGAGACCTGAGAATTCAACGCTCTGTGTCGTACTCGGGTGGTTCATTACCTGTGGGCAGCTTGTTCTGCCAATGATGAGCAGCATCAGGAGTGTAAAGCGAGTGCCAGTGCGGTGCTGGGACTGCAGTTCAAGTTCAGAAGGGTTTTTTCAGCGTTCACGTGGCACCATTTCTAAGGTCGGCTTGCCTATGGAAAAATCAGTGTTCTGTTTCGTGCCGTGGAGACCGAGCTGACAAACTTCATGCTCTGGAGCTGCGCTGTGCACAGCCAGCAAAGATCAGGCCCGTGCTGCTCCCTGGTGCATCTGTTCCTACAAGTGTGATGCCAAAACTGGAGCTGGTGGGGAAGGCAGCAACTCTTCGTTGTCTTTGCTTGAAATAGCTCTGGCCAGCAGGATGCAATTCAATCCCGGTCTCGGCTGTGTTGCACCTTGCAGAGCAAGCCACGTTCCTGTGGCCACGAGACACTCAGTTGCATTCGGCTGTGGGAGTGGGAGAGCCGCTGGCTCGGTGCGCTGCCGGCTCCTCTCTCCTCTTGTGTTTAGGTCGCTTCTTGGTCCCACCTAGTAAATTCAGGTCTTCAGTTTGGGACCTACTATGCTGGAAAATGCAGTGCAGCTAGATCTGCTGAACTCAAGCTGTTTTCTGTAGCATTCCGTCCACATCTAAAGCATTTTTCCAGCTGTCTCCTTTGGTACTTCTGTTCCCCCTCCTCTTCCCCCTTTTGTTTTTTCCCTGAAGTACCAGATGTGGAACTTGATACTGCTACAAAAATACTCAGATCTCACTAAAAGTTGCTAACTTCAAACTAATTTGCAGTGGATCTAAAAGTAGAAATTCATCTATGTGAAAACTGTATTAATGAATTATTTTTTTTTTAATAGGATTGTAGAATATCTTGGGTTGGAAGGGACTTTAGAGATCATCTAATCCAACCTCCCTGCTGTGGGCAGGGATGCCCTTGTCTAAATCAGGTTGCTCAAGGCCTCATCCAACCTGGCCTTGAATATCTCCTGGGAGGGGGCATCCACAACCTCTCTGGGCAATCTGTTTCAGAGTCTTGCCACCCTCATACTGAACAATTTCTTCTGAAGATCCAACCTAAATCTATTCTCCTTCAATTTAAACCCATTTCCCCTTGTCCTATCGCTGGACACTCTTGTAAAAATTCCCTCTCCAGCCTTCCTGTAGGTTCCCTTCAAGTATTTGTTCTTTTAGTACTTAGTGACATGTACTTAAAGACTCAATTTATGTTACATTATCATATATAAGTTTTGCAAAGGTAGACCAAACCAGTTAAAATAGAATTGTAGATCTTGATGTTTGGATCTTTACAGATTGAAGAAGGTGTTATGGTGATGGAAGATGATTCTCCTGAGGAGGCTGTTAGTACCCCAAACACACCCCGCAACCTTGCAGCATGGAAAATTAGCATTCCATACGTAGATTTTTTTGATGATCCCTCCGTGGAAAGAAAGGACAGAAAGGAGAGAATTCCTGTGTTCTGCATTGATGTGGAGAGGAATGATAGAAGGGCAGGTATGCAATGTTGTGGGTAAATGTCATTTAAAAATGAACTGAAAATACTCTAGCGTGCTGTATTCTGATGGCTGTTGCAGTGTATTTTGCATACGTGTTCCTCTGATTTTGAACTCATGACTTAAAAAATCTGAGGAAAAGTGTTTGAGAGCTAAATGATCACATTTAATATTTGCAAGTGGAGAACTGACTCCTCAGCATGAACCAGATTCATTTAGACTTCATGACAAAGTTAGAGATCTTTCTGTTTCCAAAAACATTGATCCAATGATTCATATTAATAAACACTTGGCATATTTTTTTTCACTCACTCTGAACTTTGGAATAATGAACAATAAATAACTTTTTATGTAACCTTAATATATAGTTCTTGGGAAATAAAAATATTTTTGCTTATTAGGGACCATCCAGGCTTGCAGATGGTTTATCAGCATCTAAGTAGCAGAACATCCATATCAAGTGGGGAAAATAGCCTTGTCCTCGGGCTGCATAGATTTGTGTTAGTGAAACTAATACTTCCACAATAAGCAGGAGATCTGTTAAGGTTATTTAGTGATCTCTTCTGGGATGAAGAATGACCAGAATTCAAGCTAAAGGTGCAGAGAACTGTACTGAAAAAGTGATATTTCTGTAAATCATTTGGTTGAAAGTTTGAAAATAGATCTAACATAGCCAACCCTGATAGATTTCAAAGTTATGCAGTGCTTCGTTGTTTAGGGATCCCTCAAATGAGATGATAACTTCCATGCTAGTACCATGTCTGCCTGCCAGATATATATGTATTTTAATGTAACACTTAACTTACTTACTTAGCTGGGATTTTTCTTACATTACTGCAATATGAGAGCCTACTATAACTGAGTTTTTTCCTCAGATAATCCGGCATATGTTTGCTGTTGCTTGATTTGTCTCTCAAGTGGCATAAAACTTGGTTTATTTTCAACTTTTTTTTTTCTCCCCTCAGTTGGGCATGAACCTGAGCACTGGTCTGTCTACAGGAGGTATCTTGAATTTTATGTGCTTGAGTCAAAGCTAACGGAATTTCACGGTATGTCCTCCACCATCTGGAAAGCCACTTTCCCACTGCTGTGATTATCATTCAGTACTGAGCTGAAATTTAAAATAATTAAATTAATGTTTGCTGCATTACAAGAATAATGTAATCTCATCGATATCTTTATTAGGTACATTTCCTGATGCTCAGCTTCCCTCAAAGAGAATCATCGGCCCCAAGAACTACGAGTTCTTAAAATCCAAGAGAGAGGAGTTTCAGGAATATCTGCAGGTATCAAACAAACTTTTGGAGCAAAGAATATTCTAAAACTAGTGATATAAAACAAATAGAGGCATATCTGCTATTTTTTTTTATTTCCAAGTAACTTGAATTATAGAAAGGGTTCAAGTGGGCAAATAAAACTTTTATCAAGTTTCACATGACTGAAAACAGAAATCAGATTTTAAGTGCTCCTTTCTTTCCTTCTGTCTCAAAGAAACTTCTGCAACATCCAGAACTAAGTAACAGCCAACTTTTAGCTGACTTCCTGTCCTCGAATGGAGGAGAGACTCAATTTCTTGATAAAATGTTGCCTGATGTGAATCTCGGTATGTAATACACAAGTTGTTTGTGCTGACAAATAGTGATACTGTAGATAATGTGATTGAATGATAGTAATAATGAATAGGTAACTCTTGTGTAAGAATGTGGATGTGGGAAATAAGAACTGTGCTCCTTCACAGGCCTTAAAATGACAGCTCAGCAAACAAGGTATGCTGATGCATTTTTCTTGAAGAAAAAAGACGTTCTGAGATTACAGAAGAAAGTGTTTAAGTGGTTGCTTTTGAGTTTTTGTGTCAGCAAGCAAGGTGATAAGATTTCTCTAACGATTTTCACAGTTCAGGAAGAAATCTGCACAAGTCAGTCATTGTTTACAGGTGTGATGGTATAAATGATTTCTTAATGTAAACTACCTTTGGGTGTGAGTTGATTAGAATCTGGTTGTTTTAATCCAAAACCTGCAATATTTAATATTTCTCATATTAGCTAGTGTTAAGCTTGAGAAGTTCTTGATGTCTGATGTAACAGTTGGTTCCAAATCCAAAAAGTAGACCGCAGCGTGACTTTACGGCTTGGCTGCGACGTAGCTGTCTTGGGATAGTGGGCCTGACCTGGTAAGGTCAACCTTGTGGCCATTCTGCCTCCGCACTTGGGATCCTGGCACCAGTGTGGTCCTGAACCATGCCACTGCGTTGCCGCTTCTCCAGCTCGCGGCGTGAACCCACTGGGGTGGCCATTCTCTTAATGCGCTCACCTTAAGTCAAATAAGATTTTGGTGGACATCCTCCAGTTAAAAGGTTTTGGTTTCTTTCAAACCTTCCCTCTAGATCCAAATCCATGTTGTGAAAAAAGCTTCCAGTTATGGTGTTTATTGTAATGTATCTCATGTTTGAGGTAATGCTTTGGTTACATAAACGTAATTTTAATGAGTTTTGGCATTTCAGTAGGGCTTTTTGTGAGGATGAGCGATTCTGCTATTGTCGTTTGGTCCTTGTATGTTCCAATGTGAGTTCCAAATTTAATGACTTGTAGGTAAGAAAAATGTTACTGTAAATGTAGTGCTTAAAATAAAAGCAACCCTAGGCACTTTCATTTTTCAGTATTCAACGTTACTGTGCTGTGTCCCAATAACCATAACAAAGGAGCTGATTTTTAAGACCACGGCTGTAGCCTGTCTGATTTGTAAAACCCTACTCACCAAAATTTTTAAGACAGATTCCTTCCAGAATCTCTCCAGATTAGCCGATGTTTTCAAAAAAAAGACTCACAGTTTTTGTGATTTATTTTGTAATAAATATTTATGAAGGGTGAAGAAGTTAAATACAAAAAATTTTGCCTGCATTGGTGTCATACAGTACTGCTGTTATGGTGCTATGGCTATTTATGTTTGAGCCCCTAGAAAAATTACAGAGACAGAGTATTTTGTGTTGGATTTTTTTGGTCTTAAGTATTCAGATACCTAAAATATGAAAAATGTATCTTTTCTTGAAGAGTACTGAGCATTAAGGTATAAGCTGGATATGTGGAAGACTTCCTTTTCATAGCTTTTTGTCCCAAACTGAAAAAAATACAGATTTTAAAAACTATTGCATTTTTAAATTAGGTACTAGATAGTGAGTACATAAAATGTAGCAGAGCAAAATGTGTTTACAATCAGGCAGTGATAACAGAAATTTTTTATTTGTTTCTAATTATAGGTAAAATTATAAAATCTGTTCCAGGAAAGCTGATGAAAGAGGTAAGTCTTTCAGGTTGTCAGTGGTTTAAATGCAGTAACTAATCTTATGTGCTTACTAACTTTGAGGCCAGACAAAAACTTGTTTGGAAACTCAGGGGTTTTGTTTGTTTGTTTGTTTTTTCTGTAATTATACGAGTGACAGGTGACTCATGTCTTCTTTCAGAAAGGTCAGCATTTGGAGCCATTCATCATGAATTTCATCAACTCCTGTGAATCTCCCAAGCCTAAACCAAGCAGGCCTGAACTTACCATTTTGAGTCCCACTTCTGAAAACAACAAGAAGGTATAGTATGTTATCTTCCTTCCCCGCTTCAAAAGAGTGGGGAAAATTGACCATACTCTGAAGAGGCAAAGAATTAACAGAAAACACCATAAATATAACAACTTACCTATTTCTTGTTGTCTTTTCACACAAGAGAGAGAATTGTAGTGCAGAGAGCTTTGTTGTCATCTGTCTTGTAAATATCTTAGTCTGAAAGATTTTTAGGGTTGTGGGGTTTTTTTTGCTGGTTTCTTTCTTTTGTTTTTTACTTTTTACTGGATTTGGAGATGAGGATACAGAGTAGAGAGCCTGGAAAGTAGAGTGAGGAGGAGGGAAAGGAAAGGTGTAAAATGGAGAATGTTTTTCTGCTGTAAGGGAGCTTTCTTTTTTGAAGTGGAGCGCTTGAGTGTTTGATGAACGTGTGACCTGTCAAAGTGCTACAAGCCAAAATTATCAAGACGCTGATACCTGTTTATCTGCCTTTAAAATGTTAGTATACAGTACATTGATGTCTGATGTATGTAATAAGTTAACTATATCATTTATGTGTAGTTTCTCTCTCTAACATTGCCAGAGTTAAAGCCTAGCATTTCCAATCTCAACTTTTTACTTGACTATAGGAAGAGATAGTTCCCTTCTTAATCTTCCTATATTTGTGACTACAGCCTTGTAAAACTTGCTTGAAAGACTTCAGTTAGCTTCAGGGGCTTTAAACAGACACTGGTCTGTATATTTCTCTGTTAGACTGCTTTAGAATGTCAATATATTTGTGGAATTTATGGAGGAATGTATTTCTGGGCTAGGATTTCAGAAACCCAGACTCAGTGTTACAGAGTTAATGTGATTTGTGACAAAATGTTTAATATGCATACGCTTTGGCATAAGAGAGGTGCTATATGCTTTGCTGCAGTCTTGTTTGCTTTGGGAAGAGGAATTGAAACTGGACTATGTAAGATGAGACACTTCATTCTGCAAAGTGATTGAGGTAATTGAAGAGGTAATAAATTGAAGAGGTAATAAATGAAGGTCGTAGGAGGCAAATCCAAAAAAAGGGATAGCTATTGCAGCGCTTAGTAGGTTTGCAGATTTCCTTGCCAAAAGCTGTTGTGAATGCCAGAAGCAACTGTAAGGTGAGATTGGACTACCTGTAGAGAAACTGCATCCAGCTCTTGAAGGTTTTTTTTACTTGTAAACAATGAGGGGTTGGAAGAATATTGTTGAAGAGCACTATCTGTGCTCATTCCCTTCTTGCAAGAGCTAGAAGCCCAGGATCCATTTATGATTCTTGTTGGTGATGGGCTGCTAAAAAATGGACCTTATGGTTTCCTTCACTATGGGTATTTATATAGTGTTATAACACTTACAGAATTTGCAGCTACAAAAAACTTTTATGCTAATTAAGTACAATGACAGTGAAATCAATTAATTTGTTTGGATTTCATCCTCTAAATCTGAAGTCTGAATTTCTACAGCCAATATTTTAGTGTTAGCTTACGTGTGCACACACACACACAAAACCACAATTACAGAATCACAGAATGAGAGTGGTTATTTTTTTACTGTGATGTCAAGAACTAGTGAAGTCAGTGGCTTTAATACATGTAACATAATATTTGAGCAACAAGCTTTGCAGTCTGAAGCATTCCTATGAAGACAGATTCCTATAGTTTGAAAAACTTTAATAAAGGATGAAAGGTGTTCAAAACCGTTTTGGATTGTAAAAGATTAAAAAAGACATATATAGCATTGCTCAGTTAAAATACAAACTCATTCTCCAAAGTGTCGGTATGTTTTTTCTTGTAAATGTGTGCAGAAATTCAGGCTTCAAAATGATGTTTTCCCAATTCTTTTCAACCATGGTGCTCCCCAGAAAGCAAAGAGCTCCCTGCTTTCAGTTTGGAATACTGAAGTTTCCTTAAACAAAACATAACTCTATACTGCCTTCTGTTTTCTAATGTCATTTTCAGAAATAGTATTATGGGGGAAATCTTATCACCACTAGCTGGTCATGGATGCACTCCATTGGAGACATGAGTCTGTAGAGATCCAGTCAGAGTCATTGCAAGTACTGCCCATGACCATGCAGGAGGTGCTTTTGTCTTGAGATACGAGTCTCTTTGCAGAGAGCAAAAAAGATGAGGCTTCCTGCAGGTCTCCACTCCTTCTCAATATCTGTTGTGAGAGTGAGTTCACTGTTTTTCTAAGAACTTTCTTCTAGTTAGCTGTTTTGTTAATAGGTAATCAGTTCTACGTATATTTCAGGTTTTCTTTCTTTCCCAAGAGAAATCTGTTTTATTTTGGGGAGTCTTTTGCTGTAAATGTATAGAAAGTTCCAGGCTTCAGTGTATCTCATGCTTATTATTTAATCATGGACACTCAAGACACTTTGACTTGGTGGACGCTGCAAGTCAGGTCTGTGATCAGATGCTCAGTATTTTTTTGTTCTCAAAGCAGAGGCTCATATTCATCAGGAATTAATGTGCTGGCTGCTTTCTCACTAGTTTCCCATCTATCAGATGCACACACTTACTCACATGATAACTGCAATTATCAGAGATCTGATATCCTAGGCTGTGCTGTGTTATGGTCTCTGCTGAGTCTTCCCAGGCAGCTTGTGAAATTCATGATTTGTTGGGGTGCTTTGTCGCACCCTCTTTGGAAGACAATTTTCTCTTTCTCAAGGCAGCCCACTCTTGGGAAGAGCTTTGTGCCAGGTGCCGGGACACTGCACCATTTACATCTTGTCATTTCTTGGATTTGATTTGTAAGCCACGCTGGTTTCATCTGCCAGACCAGTTTAGTTCAGATCAGTGATGGTTTTTGGAAGCAAACCTCTTGATCACCTCTTGTTATCGCATTTTCCGTCTTACAAGGGAGCTGTCTTACAACTCATTAGCTGACTTTTATAGATGAAGCTAAACTGGAAAACACTGTCTAGGAATGCTGGCAACAAGGGCGTTCAGTCTAAAGGCCAGAGCAAAGGTAGACTGAGGTAACACCCCTCCCTACCCCCTTAAATACACAGTTGTTCAGTTCTGCGGTTTCACTTTTGCTGTGCCACATGATGTCTTTGTGAAGATACAAGCAGGGTGTGATAGCCTGGTGCTCCATAGAAGCTCGTGGTGGAGCTGGATGCTATAATGTCTATGCCAGGATTGTGTGAGCTACCTGCCTGGAGCCAGCAAGGAGATGTGGCTGGCAGCTGAAGAGACGGAAATGCCCATCTGTCAAGAAGTGCATGTTACCTCATAGCAAGAAAGTTATTCGATGTAGAGGTTTTGGGTAAATGCTGGAGTCAATTTCCAGCCGATGCGTGCATTGTTGCAGTGTTCCCATATACCTTGTCTGACACAGATCTGTTTGTTCCAGTATCAGCATGTTGGAATCTGCTGAGAATAAAGAAGACATTCCCGAGTGCCTGTACTGCCAGCTCTCTTGCAGTGAATAGGGTACACCCACGCTGCCTCTGTGTCAACAGGCTGAAATGAGAAATGCCTGAAAGTCTGTCAGGGCAGGTGAAAGCTTGAGTTCAGTCAGATGTTCTCCTACTTCTTTAAAAGATTTTTTGCATGCTGCTTCCTTTTGAATATTCCTGGTGTGTGTATGTATGTTTGTATGTTTCAAATACCAGTGGAAAGACCTAAAAATGTGTAATGAATGTGGGTAGTTGACCTTAGTATAGCCAGTAGCAATTGGATTTTATCCTGTATCATATCTGCTAGACTGAAAGAGTTACCACTCTCCCTGGTTAAAACCAACCAGTGAGTTAAAAAAAACCAAACCAGCTTGTAAAGGCACCAACAGGATGCCTGGCTTTCCCAGCTGTGTTTCTCTTCAGAAGGTCTGTAAGCAGCTCAGTCATCTTCCGAATGTGCTTTTGTCAGACTTGCTAGAATAGGTTGGGACTTCTCACCTGATGTGGAGTTTGCAAAAGAAGCCTGTGCAGGCGTTATTCTGTTAGCTCCTGACCGCCTGCCAACAGCAATAAACACTGCTTTTGGAACACTGACAGTAATGCACGTTTATGCGTAGTTGCTTGTAGAAAGAAGACACGGTTGCTTTTCAGCTGTGGTTGATGTGGTTCTGACGCTGCACACGTTCTTTCCTCTTAGCATTTTGGTGTAGTCATCTGTACTTTGCAAATGAGCGGGGAAAAATGGTGAAGGAGTTCGTGCCTCTGGATGTGGCTGTTGTTCATAATTGGGGTATTGCTTCTATAAACTTCAGTGCTGAAATGTATGGGTGTGTATTTGCGCATGCACTCACTAACCATTAAGTAACTATATTTTCTGTTAGGCATTTTGTGTAAGCATTCCTACTTATGTCACTAGCTATTCCCACCGAGGCACAGCAGAGAGCCTATTGTGCAAGGGATTGCTTTGGGCTTTTTTGTAATTCAGACTTTTTATCTTTCACTCACTTCAAGAGATTGGCTTCCATTATTACCCAGTACCAATCCGTGGAATTTCCTCACTGACAGCCTTTTAAAAATATGTCACGTTTATAATCCCAGTTACTCTTTAAGATTAAAGCTGTGATTAGGAATAACATCAGAGTTTGCCTTGCTTGTCTTTTTTTTTAGTCTGATTACAAAGGGAGCATCATATCACATCTCAAATACTAATATGCGCAGAAAAATTTAAAAAACAAAATTCCGTGCTTGTCCAAATTGTGAATATAGTCTCAACTTTTGCGTTAGATAACCAGTCATATGTTTTTTCACTTGGCTTTCCTCTGAGCCAGAATTTTGGGAAGTGCAACGCCACCTTCTAAGTAGAGATGTAACGCTGCTTCGCAGTACTGCTGCTGCATCCCTCAGGTGTGCGCCGCTACTGGCTTGCGGAACACACACTTGTGCTGGAATAGTGCAAAGTACACACTTTTAATAAAGTTTCTTTAAAAAGTTTTTATAAAAAGTTTCTGTAAAAACTTTGGCATGCTGTGACCTGGTACTTTCTGAAATGCCACCTGCAAGTGTCAAAGCTTTTGAAGCATGGCAACGATCAAGGAGCTATTATATTTAAGGTGTATTATTTAATCTGGTTTGGAGTGAAGGCTGAAATAACTTCTGGAAGTAGAAAAGCTTTGCCCTAAGATGGCCTTCACATTTGATGTCCTTTTTTTTTTTTTAATAGATCAGTTACCAGTCTGCGGTTCATGATTTAGTTTGGCCTGTATGCAGTCCTCTGAAGCTTTATCTGCGCTGCACGATGGGCTGCTTTGAGTTGGCTCCATGTGTATCGCCTCTGTCAGGTCACCGGGTGTATCTTAAAAATAAATTAGGTTCTTGTTTAAGTTACAATAATTCAACTAAGATTTTCCTGATGTCCTAGTTTCGATATTGAGGAGGTTATAGACTTGAGTTTATACAGGGTTTTTTAAACAACATACCAGGGACGCTTTCATACAGTAGGCGTGAATAATTACGTGTTCTTTTTAGGTCTGTTACTTTCCTGGATCCCAGTCATCCAGCAGGGCATTAACCATATTTGCTCTTTCATGTAATTTATGTAATAACTTGGTGTTGTTTAATTTGAGTGAACTTTGTGAAGATAATGCCAGCAGTTCAGCACTTAACAAAAGAGAGGCCCAAAGAAGTACCAGTCAAAACCTTTGTCTTGCCAAATTTCCTGATGTAGTTTTTCCTAAGAGCTCAGTGTTCGTTTCGAGACTTGCACAGTTCAGAGCCTGTTGCAATTTGGGGTTTTTTACAGCCTTGTTTATTTCTGGGAGAACTGCTCTACAGCAAGTAATCCACCTCTAAGCAAATTACTTCCTTTGCCTTGGAACTATTTTAAGTTTGGGTGTGATGCAGAAAGAAAAAAGTGTTGGTAACAGTCAGCCTAGGCAACGCTATAATTACTTTGCATTTGCTGCTCATTCTGGGATGCTTTTTTAGAAGCTTGGCTTAAACTTTTGAACTTTCCTTTTCATAATAAAGCAGTATTTTATATAAATTCTTCCTGATCTTTAAAACAACAGTTTGAGTGGATAAGAGAGTTTATTTTAAATTGCTAATGGTGCTTAGTGCTAGGTAATGTCAAATGCAGGGAGCCTCAAGACTCAGAGAGCTCCTCCTTTCCAGCTGCTGTAGCCCACAGGCTTGGGGGACTTGAGGAGGGCTGGAAGGTGTGCCTTGGGGCTTAGGACACCTAATAGGATGCAGGGAAGACCACCTTGGAGTTTTACAAGTGTTTGAAGTTTTGGGGAAGAATCAAAGGCAAGAGAAGATGGGGGCATGGAACACAGGAAAACAGGGTAAAGGAATAAAATGAAAATAGATGGGATAAAGGAAAAAAACACAAATGTTGGTAATTTATAAAGATTCATGAAGGTCTTGGTATAAGTAATTGAGCTGGCACAGAAAAAAGTTTTGGTTTTGAATATGGAAAACTGATTAGTTCTTCGAAAGCTCTGAAAAAAGCTACTTAAAACCAACAATAACAGAACAGACAACAAACAAAGCACACCGAATCACAGATCTGTTGGCTCTCCTTTTCCCTTCTGAATGCAGTACTTTCATTATTACGTTTTTGTTTTTAGCTTTTCAATGATTTATTCAAGAACAACGCAAATAGGTCTGAGAATACAGAAAGACGACAAAATCAGAACTACTTCATGGAAATGCTGACTGTAGAAGGAGTCTATGACTACTTAATGTATGTTGGTAAGAAGTGATTTCTCTTACTTATTCCCATGCCAAATAGGAAGTTCGGATTCTTTGGTAAGAAATACAGTTCTCTTGCAGCAGTTGTGTGTAATTCAGCTCTTGCAAACATTGCAGTGTGCAACTTAGGAGCAGTCACTCTTTAAAATGCCTTATTGCTGTGCTAAAATACTGTCTTTCAGTATTGTTTTGTTATATCTCTTTCTGCATCTCAGAGGAGGAGATGGGACTAAGTCCCTTTTTCTCAAATGTGGCTAGATTGCTCCTAAGTTCTGAGAGCTAATTAATAAAAAGTACTTGATAAGCAATCTGGAGAACAGCAGAGAAGATTTTTTCAGGGTCGCACTAGCAAAACTGCAATATTATTTGCTTGTTTGCAACCTTGTCTTCTTTTTTCTTTTGAATAAATGACTCCTGTATCATCATTAGCTGGAGAACCTTGTAAACCTGTGCTCCTGTAACTTTGCAGGTCGGGTAGTTTTCCACATTCCTGACTGGCTGCATCACCTCTTGATGGGAGGAAGAATTCTCTTCAAAAACACTTTGGAACTCTACACAGATTATTACTTGCATTATAAGTTAGAACAGCTATTTCAGGAGCATCGTTTGGTTTCTCTGATAACACTGCTGAGAGGTTAGTAAAAGGTACACCTTTGATGTGTAAACACCGCTTTAGCTGAATGTTAGAAATCCGTTCTGTTAAGTTTCTGAGTACCAAATGTCGTGATGTTTGATTAAAAGAGTTATAAAACCCAAATGGGCCTATAAAAAGATTCTAAAAGCTTGTTGCAGAAAGATGCCGAGTTGGTCGTGTCTGTCAGTGGTGATCACGGAAGAAAATATCAGGAGTAGTGATTTGCTAACATGTGCAGAGAGCAAGAACAACAGAATAAAGGTGGTTTAGTGTATCAGAGTGTGAATATTGAATGCAGCCTTTTAAGTAGTTTTCACTTGGTGTGCTGCATCATAGTCCTCTACTGTTAATTTTTTTGTTCCCTTTCTTTGACGGACTTTTGAGAAGGCTTGAGTGTTCTTAAGCTTCAAATAAGGAAAGGGGAAGGAATTTAGAAAAAATAAATAAAAATTGATCTCACAGCTGTAGAGAAGTATCTGACTGCAGTCTAATCTGAACAACACATCTGGCAAAAGCTCTGGTATCAGGACAGCTCTGTCTGTATCAAGCCAAAAAGAAATCTTGTAAAAGATGAGAAAGGAGTAAATCTTTCAGACTCTAAAATGAAACCTGAGTGCCTGATATTTCTGATGAATAACAGTTTGGGGGTTTTATTTGCAGATGAATCTGAGGGGTTTTTTTACAGTTCCAGACAGTGCTTTAGCACAAAGTATAAACACTGCTTATAGTTTGAAAGTCCAGTGAAAATGGTGAGTAAGGAGATCATAACTAACTTAAAGAAAAATTGGTCTGAACCTAGGACATAATGCTTTAAAAATTTGAAAAGAATGGAAACAAACTGCCAAAAGATTGTTGTCCTTCACACAGGTGGGGTATCCTGGATTCAATCAGGCTGATGCAATTAGAAGACTATTCTCTGGCAAGGCTAGAATTCCCTTCTAGTCAAGATTGTACAGAAAAGCAGCTCAACTTCAAAGCTGCAATCCAAAACACTTTTTACGTGCCAGTGACGGGTAGCTGCCTAAACATACTCTGTTTTGGTTTTTTTTTCCAACGTGTCTCTGCTGCAGATGCTGTGTTCTGTGAGAACACTGAACCTCGCTCTCTCCAGGATAAACAGAAGCGAGCAAAGCAGACTTTTGAAGAAATGATGAGATACATTCCAGGTTCTGTTTTTCATGATTCTCTATACGAGTATGGTTCATTGTTCAAGCAGATATTGCACCGAAGGACAGACTGCTATGGTCTGAGTTGATGAGAACACCACTTCTAGATGTAAAACCCCAAAGTTCAGTTTTGTCACTTACGTGTTGCTGACGAAGGTTGTAACATAATGATTAATAAAGATATGATGGAAATAAAGAGCTTGACAAATGTACTTAACACCATCGTTTCCTCATCTTTAGAGTGCTCCTAGGGTTTCTATTTTATCCAGACCAAAACTGGGTTAAAAAAGGCACACCATGAAATCAGAAGATAAATCTGAGCTCTCCTTACACTATATAAACTAGGGAAGAGAGGCCCATTTGCTGGGTTACTCAGAAAGTAATTAAAAAATTTCAGCTTGTGGTTTAGTAAACACTGCATTAGGACAGTACGTTGATATTATAAAAAATGTAATAATTACTGAGGTGTGCAGCCCTGAAGGAAGAAGAAAAGGGAGGGACCAAAGGAGTGTTTGTTTTTCCACTTAGGACTTTACACAGATAAAATTCAAACTCTTAAAAAAATTTTTTTTTTAATTACTAGAGTTCTGTAACTACATTTTACAGCTGTTTTGCAGTGCTTCTTAATGACTTTTGTGTTTGTTGTTGGTATCTGATCTAGATTTGATAGGCAAGTGCATTGGGGAAGAGGCTAAATACGAAGGCATCAGGCTTCTGTTTGATGGAATGCAGCAACCAGTGCTCAACAAACAGGTAACTCCTAACATGAGAGAAACTTGCCTTTTGCCACAGAATTTCCTGCAGTGGACGTGTGGCTGTAGCAGAGAAGTGAGGTCTAATTCAGAGTTGAAAATTAAAAGGAGTAGTGTTGCCTTGGAGTGTTCTTAATTTTCTTTGTTTTCTTTTAGTTAACTTACGTTCTACTGGACATTGGGATTCAAGAACTCTTTCCAGAGCTGAGTAAGGTACATGCTAACCCCGTTCAAAGAGCTGCAGAATTCTTCAAGTCTGGTTATTGGTGATGTTCCCACCATACTAATTTTAAGTTTGAGGGGAAATCTGTATTTTGTTAAATGCGTTGAAATCATTAGAATCTGAATTCTTTACATTTTTTTAATTTCCGAATCAATTTAGACCTGTTTGTCCAGCATAGGGCGAGTGTGAACTGCCTTTCACCAGAATTGGATGGAACAATCAGCAGTTGGGATCTCTGTGCCTTACTTTTTAGTGGTCTGTCTCCACACTATTTCACACACTTCCTGATTTAGGAAGTGAACTCTGCATGCGGAGCTCCGGTTGAGCTTCAGCATTTTCTTTGAGAGTACTAGTCAGGAGGGTTTCTTACCTCTGGTTTGGTCACTGCAATGGTAAGTCCGACCACCCGGGTAAGGAGAATGCTTTGTGTTGTTCAAATTCTCTGTATGGATTCATATCGTTAGGTTTGTGATCCATCCGATATTTGTCCTTATGTATAAGTACAAATACTTATGTATTATACATACGTGCTTATGTATAAACCTTCACAGAACTTTACATACTAGTTTTACAGTTTGGTCTTCAAGGTAAACAGGAGATATTAGCTAGTTAAGTAGATATTAAAAAACAAAACAAAACAAAACAACCCCTGTCGCTTATAACAGATGTTCACTACATGAGCCCTGTGTCTGAGCACTGCAGAGTGATTAGTTTTGGATAATCAACAGAAAGAAATGTTGGGCGTTGGAACAACTTTCCACTGTTTTTGACTGAAACTAGGCCAGCTTAGCAAGTGTAGCTGACTTCACACATCAGCTCTGTATCTGGGCCTTCTCGCGCCGGTGTTCAGATGGTTAAAAAAACCCAACAGACGACCCAGCTCACCAAGGGAATGCGGCATTAGCCTGGAGACTTGTGCTCTGCAAAAAAAGACCTGACTCGACACTTGTTATAGCGTTCTTGCTGGTCAGCAGAGACTGGTCGTTTTTGAGTTACTCGATACCAAAATGTGTTACAGTTACAAAGAAGAACAGGAAAGTATTTTGAGTCAGTGAGCATTTCTGAGCATCCCAAAAGTTTTATTTTGAGCACTGCTCCTTCAGCAGGGGAAATGGCGATGGGAGAAACGGGAACACGCTCGTTAGCGAGGATGTCGGGCTGCTTCCCGCTCTCGAGATCTGATATCTTGAAAGTCTATCCTGCTACACATACCAGCGTGGATATACGTGATCGCTTGATATAGGCTGTGTGTAATGGCAGCCTGCATAAGTAAACAAGCTCTATGGATAAGAGCCGAAAAAACGAGTTTTGCCTTTGATGCAAGGTACAGCCAGTTCCTTGGAAATCTGTCAGACAGGATGTGAGGGAAAGGGACAGCTGAGAAGGGGAGAAGCACTCCTCAGCAGAGGAAGGAAAGGAATCCAGTTGAAAAAATACCACGCCGCTGTGGTTTCCAGAGCAGAAAATTGCTGTGTTAAGAAAATCGTATTTAGCTTTTAGGAATGGGGGAGGTGAGAACTTCCAGAGAAAAAAGAAAATACCTGTTTTGAGCAACAGTATTAAAACTGTGAAAGCAGTAGCCTGCCTTTCTCTTAACTCTGGTTTGCAATACCATTAATCATTGCAGCCCAGTGCAGTCATTTACATATAAATATGAATTTTCAAACTTAGAAATTATTTTTTCTCCCTTACTTTCTCACAGGGTCCAAAGGAAGCCAGCTCTGTGTCAGGTTGGATGTGAATGCAGGAACCTTGCTGGACACCCAGAAGAAACATCTGCTGTGTGCTCTTGTAATGGACATGTGACATTTTAACCTTGCATTGTATATTTTCTTGTAAATAACATAAAATTGAAGTTCTAAAAAAATCTCTTTATGCAATAAAGGTATTAAATTTAATACCAATTACAAGTAAATAATATATCTGTACTGTTTATTTTAAATTTGGTTTAGCTGTTAATCAGAAACAGTCAAACTAATTTCACCGAAATCTCAGTGTGAAATTACAGGATGACATAAAGTAAAACAGCTGGGAGATCAGCCAACGTATGCTTTGCTAGAAGAGCAATTACTGTTTTCTTCCTTAAAGGATATGTAGAGGAATTGTTTGGAAGTTGTAAGAATGCTCCCATGATGTTATTTTTAACCATCCTAACATATCTTACTAATTTTTTTTAAAAAAAACAAAATTGCATGATTGTATCTATTGCATACAAATCATCTCAGAACTATCTTTGGCCTTCGTGCTTTCCGTGAATGTGAAAAGTCATGTGTGTAATTTAGTTTATTTATCACATCTAACATGCTCTTAAAATAACAATGGGTGCGAAAAGTGGTTTTGACTTTTACATTGGCATTTATTTTTATGCAATTTCTTATCTGGGTTTGTCAGGTTTTTTTCTGACATCCTCTTTGCAGTCTTAGGAAAGAGGATGTGAGTCTGTTCATAGAATTTTCTGAAAAATTATTAGTGTATAAAAATGTGTGGAAAGTATTCCCCGTAAATCTTGATTTGTTGGCTCAGCCTTTATAAAAGAAATTTTGAAAAATGCTTTCAGGCTTTTTTTTTTTTTCCTCCAGACAACACCTGTTTTCTCCTTTTTTTTACAAAAAAACCCCAATCTAATGCATTATTAGTGCTATTTGTCAATACAATTCACATTATCTGTCTGTATTACCTTTGTGTATCTTTACCTTCTGTTTGCCAGAAGAAGGTAGAAGTGTCATTTCTCTCTGGGATTGCCAAAGGAGTTGTTATAACTCTTTAAAAAGGGACATGCAGGTACAGCTCAGTCCATAAGTTCTTTTACTGGTTTTAGGGTGATTTGGGGAAGACCAGTGTGCAAATTAATAACTTTAGGGACTGATACTGACAATTCATCAATGTGATGTTATAACTACTCGTGTGTCGAGGTCAGCTGTTGTTTGTCTCCTTGTTCTAACACAGGGAACCTCATGTGTGGTCCAGGTCTCAAATTTACCTGGAGATTAATGAGGTCTTGAAATTTAAGCATCCTGACTGTTCATCTTAATGTATCTTCTCTTTGGAATCTGCAGGTGCAATGAATTTAAGAGGCAAGTAGCTTGGGTGTGAAAAAGAGTGTAGCGCTTTCAAAAAAAAACAAACAAAAAAAACCCCAACAAAGCAAGTTTATTAAAAACACTGAGAATCGGTTTAATACAGCAATAAACACCATGGCAGTGTGTTGATGTCAAAATTCCAAACGTGAACCATCTTAGAAAAATAATCATTGTTTGCACTCATTCATAAGGAATCCCTTATTGATAAAGAAACATACCCTTAACATTTAATCCACTTTCTGATTTTATCCTTATTAGCCTATGACTTACAACTGTGTGTTTTTTAACTATAGCCTTCCCATAGAAGAGATGGCTTCTGTGTTACGATAACGATTACCATAAAACCAGGTTATGCTGTAAAAAGCCCCATTCCTGGGCAACTTCTAGAGGTTGCCTCTGCTGCAGGAGTCAATATGTGTATCCAATGTCCTCTCCCACCTCTGCTGACAGAGAGTAATGGCCAGGAGTCCTGTGCTTTGGTCTTTGGAAGAAGGTGTAAAATTGAGCATGTTTATATGAAACGTAATCACAGATTGTGTTCTCACTCCAGCTACGGTCCCCAGACTGGTCACATTAAATAGTGAAGTATATAGACTCAATTTCTTAAAATTGATCAAAATCAAATCAAGCATTCATTGCATCCTTTATTAATAGAAAACAAAAGTGAGATGCTGCATCTTTGAAAATAAAATGGAAAAAAAAATAATGGCATGTAAATGGACCTCATGCTTTCAATGACACGGAGTTTAATCCAGCTCTTTCAGGCATTGGGATAGGTATGATAAATATGACTGGAACCAAAGCAGAATTATTACTTTGAAAGCTTTAGCCCTAAGTGGAGATCAAAGAAAGGAATATACACCTATAATAAATCCATTTCTAGAAGCTGGTTTACATCACTGGGGCAAGATTATGAAGGAAATAATTATCTAAAGCAACTAAAAGCATTTGACAAGTTAAAAATATTCCCATTTGGTCAGCAGTTGTGTTATAATGGGAACATTCTTCAAGGAAAAGGTTGTCAAGCATTGGAAGAGGCTGCCCAGGCAAGTGGTGGAGTCCTCATCCCTGGAGGTATTTAAAAGACATGTAGATGAGGTGTTCAGGGACATGGTTTAGCGGTGGACTTGGCAACGCTAGATTTAACAGCTGGACTTGATGATCTTAAAGGTCTTTTCCAACTTCTGATTCTTTAAGTATTTGCTGGAACTTGGCTTCTTGAAACTTCAAACTGAATGGTGGGCACCTGCTGATTCAAACTAAGAAGTCATGAGTTCTGCCCGGTGTGCTTCAATGACTCCCGCAGATGAAGGAAAACTGCTTGTGGTGTTTGCTGACGACATGCCACGACCTGAACGCTTGTTCATTTTAAGGTGTAAGAAAAGAGAAGAGTTCTCTCTCCCCTTTGTCAACATCGTTTCTCCTGTCCTCCTCCAAAGGAAGATGTAGCGAGCAAAAATCAAGTATGCAAGAACGTTACAGCAAAGAGGACTGAAATCAGGGTGAGACTTGCTTCAGTAAGACTTCCAGAAGAAAACTTTATTCGACCTTCAACTGCTGGGTAAACTCTCTTCATCCGCTGGAGGTAACGGGAAACAACCTCAATATCAGGTTCACCTACACAAACAAAGAAAAGGTTAAGTGTTCTTTGCAGCAGCTCATCTCTGAACTAAAATTTAAGAACCTCTCTAAAATTGCAGTTTTAGCTCAAGTCTGAAAGTAAACTGGTTTCTAGTGTTTGCTGTGCTCAGTCAGTACACATCAGGACAGCAGAGCCACGTGGAATGTTCTTGTGCCTGGGTGAAACATCTGTGGGGGGTTATAGCCAGAATTTTTGGCAGCAACTCATATTTTACAAAAAAATGAAAAAAAAAAAACCCTTCTCTTTGCATTGCCTGGCTGTGTTGTGGTTTTGGTTGATTGGTTGGTTTGTTTTGCACCTGTTACAATAATAACTTGCATTCAGATTTAAGTAGATTGAGAGTTTTTGGGGTAGAGCGCTCGAGATCTGGCAAAGCTACTGCTTACATCTTTTTGAATTCAACTTTACTTTTTTTTAGGAAGAATTTCTAGCCTGTGCGCTGCTGCTTGCACACGAAGTGTGGTGAGGATTTTCTGCAGTGGAAGACCATCTTCCGTCTCTGCTGCCAACCACGTCTGCATGGTTGCAGCCCTTCTGCTCCAAGCTCATACAACCTTTAAGTGCAACACGTTCATCTTAAAAGATTATAATTTTGCCCCTCTGCTATGCTGGAAGGCTTTATCAGAACTTTTCAAGTCGTTCCCTTCCATTACTCCGAATGATTTCTCTCTCATGTGAATTTATTTCTGGGTACACAGGTATCTATCAAAACTACAGCCTCCTCAAATTCACAAGCTGTAGGCTAAATTTGATTTTAAAGACCAATCCTACCTTTGAGAATAAATTTTAAATTGAAATGTCCCAAGGAACCAAAAATTTAATCCGTAACAGAGGTCCAAAAGGAATTTTTTTGGTAAGAGCATGCTTATACCATCCAGAAGCAGAATATATGAAATGCACCGATGAACAAAACGAGTTCTGCAAAATGTAAATGTGTTTTCAGAAATAATGAATTTTAATCTCTCAACTTTTTTTCAAGTTCTAATACTTCTACATGGTGGACATTTAAAGAGAACAGGACCCTTCTTTTTGATGCGCTGTTTAGTAACGAGTACAAGTGCAAGGCAGCACATGTGATGTGCACTATCTGTAGTGCATTTTTGCCTTTATTCTAGTTAATACTGATCTCAGAACCACTCCCTAAGCAGTGCTGAACTGATAAGGCTCAGTTTCACTTTGAAACTCTTGTGATTTAACTGAAGAAGAATATAGTTGCTGGCTATAACCAAAACTAGCAATCCAGAGCAGTCAGATCAGAAGCAAATTTAATCTCTACGGTATTACTATTGAAAAGATCTTTTAACTTCTGGAAATTGTTTGCCTGCCCAGGCTTACCTTTACTGTATCCCAGATTTTTGTCTTTCAGCATCTGATAGCCATCTCCTCCAAATAACATATAGGACGGAAGAGTCACGTTGTAGATTTCATCCATCTGGAGTGGGATGTAGGCTGGGACTCGGCAGGCTGTGCAAAGCACTTCCAAGCTGACAACTCTGCTTCCTGGGGCTCTGGAGAGATCGTAGACCACGTGGATGCCTACAAAAATACGAGTTTCAGTGTCACTTTGTTGAATTTCCAGGGCTAGAAGCAGCATCCTCCATCATCTTCAGCTGATTCTTTACAGTAGCTTCTGTGACGGAGAGGTTGTATCATTCTGAATTATACCAGTTAATGCACTGTTTGCCTCACAAACAACTTTTAGGCAAGAAAAGTCCTGAGGCTGGAGAACTGTTGTTCCACCTCAGTTACTTACGTGATCATCTGTTCTCATCACTACTCTACTGAACGAAATTACTAGTCTTGGGATTAGAATGCTGCAAGATAAAATTACCTTCCCTTATTTGTATAGTCATATGCTTTCTCCTTCAGCTTGTTGGCTGAAATTACTTCTTTCAAAGCCAGCCAGCCACCCTAACTTAACGGCTATTATGGATAATAAGTACTGTCCTGAAAAAGGAAAGCCAAGCCAAGGCTAAAAGTTGTGGTTTCTGCTCACTGCAGAAGTGAGGCTTCTAGTTGTGAGCCTTCCTCGATCAAAAGCCTGGAGAGAATTAAGCCCCCAGAAGAGCACTGCCAAGAATTTGCTGATCAGAAAGCCACTAAAGCTCATCCAAAGCACAGAGACTTTGTCCAACCCTGGCGCTCTCCCAGTTCTAGATCTTCCATCCTGAACCCTTTCCAGAGCTACCAGTT